ATTATTATAATTAAAGTAAAAATTTAAAAATAACAAATAATAAAGTTGAACCAAAATACATTAATTCCAAAAACTAAAAACTGAATGTGAACTTATTTAAATCAACCTAAAGAACTAGTTGATATATCCTTTTTTAAAAGAAAAAGAAAAAAGTATAGAAATATAATATAGTCATAGAAAGTAAACAAAAATCAAAAGGTAACAAGTCATAATTATATTAATATTATTACTACATTTTAAAATGGAGAAAATTACTATGTAATTTATTAATACACAAAAACATATAACTGACAATCTAAAGAAATATATATTATAAAACTTCTAAAGAAATATATATTATAAAACTAAAAAAAACTAAAATTGAAAGTGTATATATTAAAAAACTAAAAAAAAAACTAAGGAATATATATATATATATATATATATATATATATATATATATATATATATATATATATATATATATATATATATATATATATATATATATATATATATATATATATATATATATATATATATATATATATATATATATATATATATATATATATATATATATATATAAACTCAACCGTAAAATATGTATATATAAAATTTGGTTTAAAAAAAAGTATGAATAACTTGTTTTATATATTGCAACAGCAGTAAATTAATTATTTAAATAAAAAAAGTATAAGTATTATAAATAGTTTGTTAGTATAATTTAACACCAGTAAATAAAAGATAAAGAAATTAATAATTAAAAACACTTAAATGCACCATATTGTAAATGGATCACTGAATCAACAAATAAAATAATTAATTAGATCTAACTTTAAATCTCATACTAACTTAAACTAATCTTAGTATAGAAAACAATGATGCCACAAAATATTTACATTGCACACCGTAATTATGGAATGGTGTTATGGAAAAAATATATGAAGGTTCAGTAATGGTTTGTTCATATGAGAGAAAGGTGTAAAGAGATTGAGATTAGTTTCTTTTTTATTCCAAAAATCCAACATGTTACATGAAAAGGGGGAATATGTGTAGTTCCTTTCAATAGCAACAAACTCCTCCCCCAATATAAACCTTTGAAAGAGAGTCAAAGGAGGTACAATGCATGCATGCATGCTAAGTTGTTATTTCACAAATAAGGAATAAAAAACAAAAATTTATTTTTAAATTTAATTTACAAGTTAAAGACAAAAATTTAAATATTAAAAATAATCAAGTAAGTTAAAAATAAAATAAACTAAATTAATAAATTGAAAATATAAAAATATGATTAAATAAAAAATAATTAATTAAAATTAAAATAAAAATCAGTTAAAAATTAGAAATTGGATCGGTATCTAACTGTTCGAAAAAATAAAATGAATATATCAAAATGATTAATAAAAAATATACAATTCGAAAAAATACGGCGTTTGGTCAAATTCTAAAATAAACTTAACTGCTAAAATGACTTAAACTAAAAAAATGCGACCGAAAAGTGATCGAAAAATTTAAATGAGCACGCCAAGTTAAACTACGCGAAGCGCAGATCAATATCACTGGCATCTGCAAACTCGATTTTAAAATTTTCCGTTCACTGATTTTATGCACATTTGACTTTTGGTTTGACCAATTCGCTGTAATTCCAACGAATTTATTCTTGATGGTAAATTGAATATTATCCAAGATGTGAGACATGATGCCCTATACAGATGATGCAAAAAGTCGTGGGATCTTAGCGTCAAAAATTAGGATGGACAATGAAGACAAATCAATTTCTCCACTTAAGGGATAAAATTGGTGTGTTAGTTTTGAATAGAAAATCCTAAATTAAAGGATGATATTGGAGGGTAATTTATTATTTTAGTATGTTGAATATGTGATCCTAATATTTGAGTATAAATAAATTAGTTGTAGTTGTCATTTATTTTATACATCTATCTTTCTTACAACTTTTGTAGCCGTCATTGCATAACAATAAATACTATATCATTCTTTTTGTTTTCATCACCTTGTACACTAACAGGGGAAGGAGGAGGAATAGAGAAAGTCTATGACTAACCATTTATTATAATTTTTTTTTGAAAATATAATTAATTCGGCATAATTTTGATTATATATATATATATATATATATATATATATATATATATATATATATATATATATATATATATATATATATATATATATATATATATATATATATATATATATATATATATATATATATATATATATATATATATATATATATATATATATATATATATATATATATATCAACTTGTCTCATTTAAGTAAAAAATTAATTACTAATGAAATGAAATATGTTTAGTTAGTAAAGAATTAGGCTTAATTAGTGTTAAGTCCTTTAACTTAATTTCAGTTTTCACTTTAGTCCCTCATTTAATGAATATTATATTTTAGTCCCTTAAAAATTATTCCATTAGTCAAGTTGGTTCTTTCTGTTAAATTTTATGAAAAAACGTTAAGTTGTGCATACATGGTATGACAAAATGGTAAGTGAGTCAGCAATTTAATAAAATGACTAAATTGAAACGTTATATATAGTTAAAATATCAAATTGAAACTTTTTTATATTAACAGAAACTTGAATATAATGACATTAAAGCAAAATCTTGATACATTACTTATTCAAAGCAAGATGTTAAACCAAAATGAATTAAGGTGTACACAGACACAACTACAATACAATAACTTATTCTTCTTAGAACTTGAATTATCAATGGTGAAAACAACTTTTTCAGGTTTAACATTTTTGTAGTTGCTGTAGTAATTTGGTTCTTCACATGAAATAACTTTTCCCGTCTTATGGATTATCACATTATAACTTCCTTCTAAACATGGTATAAACTCTGCACCATAACTTCCAATTACTCTTTTCTCATAAGAGATTAAATAATTCCTTCAAGTTTTCAATAACATATTTCAATGCATTAATCATAACAGGTTCAACTCTATTCTATGACTTGCACTTTTTCCACTTCTAATTCATAAATCGTAAACACATAGCATGTTTAATATTAAAGGTGATCTAAAGTAACTTGAATATTCATCTACTTAGCAAGAAAAATCAAACATTAAAGAAACATTATACTGATAACATATATCTAAATTAGTAAAATAATTTATTTAGATTTAGTTTAGTTACCTTCAATGCTTCTTCATCTAAAAAACTCTAGTAAGAATTAATAAACATTATATCAATCACATATAATCTAATAATCTGCATTCTCACATTTGTTAGAGATCAATTCTTTTTGCTGTAGGAAGGATATTCATTACTCGTCATCCCTATCCGTGTAAGATTGTAAATAGAGTTAGACAAATTTGTAAATTCCAAGCTGAAAAAAAAAAACAGACAAAGAAAACAAAAGCCATCAGGAAAACATAATAAAAATATATCATAATAACTAAGAGTATCTTTAGTGGGAGTATCTTAAGTGGATAAACTAAGATATTTTTTGTGGGCTCAAAGTGAGTCGTAGGATTTAAAAAATTTATAGTTGATTTGAATTGTTTTTACTTTAATGATAGTTGCTTATAAAAAAGTAAAACTTGACCTTATATTTTATATTTTTTAATTGTAATTATTTTTTTATTGAAGTTACAATTAATTTAATTATTTTAAATAAAATACATAAAATATTCACTGCAAATTTTTTGTGGGCCCAAATTATATAGTATACGTTAGCTATATAATTGTCGGAATTTAAAAGTTAGTGAATTAAATGTCATGTCATAGTCATTTCAATGCAAATTCTTTATAATCATCATTAACTATAAAAAATTTAACTATTAAAAACCTTCATTAAAGATGCTTTAACAACATTTTTAATCATTCTTTTAAAAATTTACAAATTTACATAAAGATGTAGTTCTAATTCTAGTGTAAATCACCACTTGTATAATGCCGAGGAAATAGAAAACTAATAGAAGGAGTTTCATCAATTTCTCTAAAAGTAGTGCAAATCACCACTAGGAGTCATGAAAAAAGCTTCATTCATTAAATAATTTTCACCTTTTAACATGCTTTAGCAGTAGGAGTTTTCCACCTCTATAGCATCATCATAATACAAAACCGAGCAAATCTAGAAAACAAACATATTCTCAACTTGCATACAAACTAAATCATTGTAAAATTAATTTTCACAAAATAACAAAACAACAAAAACCCATAATTCCAAATATAAAAATATTGATTTTTTTTATAACAAAGAAACCCTTAAAATCCAAAAAAGATTAAATCCACCATTTAATCACCAAGTAGTATTGTAAATGAAAACGAAATTAGGCATGAGATTTAAAATAGTTTTAAGATCTAAAAAATAGAACGTTAGATGTAAGTATCACAAAATCAGTGTACCTCGTATCTCTAAGATCTGCACAATACGAAAATGAAATTGGGATAACTTTTGAAAAAATCAACAAAATCATGTGAGAGAAAGAGAGAGAGGTTCAACTTCTTTTGTTTTTAAATTTTAAATTAATATAAAATAAAACAATTTCATGTCATCTAATTTAGTACTGCTAGAATGACACACATATAAAACTTAACAAAATTTGATAAAAATTACCCAATATAACTAATAGAATGACATTTAAAGAATTTATAACTAACCAACGTTTAAGTAAAATCATAAATTAAGTTAAAGGACCAAATAATAGATTAAGCCAAAGAATTAAAGGAGGAGATTGTATAAAAAAGAGATTTTTGTTGAGAGTGACGATCGAAAGTCAAGCGCGTGTCGGCGTCTGTCCGGTGCAATTGTTCAAAAGACACTTTTTCTCTCTCTAACACTGCAGTTTTCACTTTCACACTCATTCATTCCATTATTATTCTCTCTCTGGAAAGTCCCAGGTACTTATAGCCAGTTAAATCAATCCTTATTTTGTTCATCCCTATGTCTTCCTTTTCTCCTTCAACCAATTCAAAACACACCACTATCTTTTTCTCATCATTTCCTATCATCACTCCACTAAACTAGACAAATATGGATGCTATAAGGAAGCAAGCTGCCAGATTGAGGGAACAAGTTGCCAAACAACAACAGGTTATCACTCATCTCTTGCCTTCAACTTTACCATAATTGGTTTTGCATCTAGAATTGATTCTACCTTAAGTTAGAATTTTTAGTTTTTTTGTGTTCTAAATATCATTTTTACCTGACTCGTTTTTCTGTAACATGCCCTTAGTGAATACTTGATTCCACTTTTGGTAGAGAAAAAAAATTGATAGAAAAGAAATTGATTTTAACATGTTAGGATGATGTCCAATACAATTGTTTTTGTCTCTAGAATTGTTATAACTTGAAGCTAGAATTTAGAGGTTTTGCCTCTTCAATTGATTTCTTACCTCAAATTCTTTGTAAAACTTTTCTTACATGAATGTATCCAAATAAAGTAATTTTACATTTTAGTCCGAATCAATTTAGCAGAACTAATCCTTTTTAAAATCAGTTTTTGTAACCACAAAACTAATTACACACAAAGGCTTGTTTTTGCTTGGTGGTGTTGGTGAGGGATCCTTATACAGAAAGCTATGAAGCACGGACACTTCTAGAAGGAGGCGTGTCGTGGTGTCCGACACTTGTATGACACTCTTGCGACAGGTGTTGAAAAAGTTAGATAAGTGTCGGAAAAATCAGACAAGTGTCCTCAAATAAATGGTTTATTTTCTTTGCTTTGACACTCTTTAAATCGGTGTCTGACACTTGTATGACACTCATACAACATGTGTCGGTCAATTTAGAAAAATTTATAAAAAAGGAACTTGTTTTTTTCTTTGATTTAACACACATTTTAAGATAAATCTCACACGCATCTAAAAGTGTTAAAGATGTATTGAAGCAATGTTATTAATGAAAATTAAAGATAATAATTTTGATTAGGATATTTTTAACTCTTTTAATAATAGATTGCTCAATGAAATTCAAATACCATCATATATGTAGCGGTGTCGCAGTGTCCGTGTTGTGTCGTGTCCCGGTATCTGTGTCGGAGTCCTTGCTTCATAGACAGAAAGTATTGATTCTGTTAGTAAACTGTTTGTTCCATTTACTGTGTTTGCATTATTAGTAATTTCATTTCATGTGTTTGACTTTGTCTCTTATCATGTTGTTTTGTAGACTATACTTAGACAGTTGGGTCAACTTAGCAATGAACCCCTCATGGCCGATGAATCTGAACTTGAATGTTACCAGAAACTTCAAAAATTATACACTTCTACAAAGACTGCTAAGGTGTATTTGCATTATCAATCCATTTATCAGTTCGATGCTGACGTTCATTAAATTCATGGAGCTTTGTCTGGTAAAATTGTTAACCAATGTGATTCTTACAGCATTTTCAGCGCCACATTGTTCGTGGTATTGAAGGATTCATCTCTGTTAGTTCCAAGCAGATGGAGATAGGTGACCCTTTCTTTTCGCCTATGTATTAATTTGGTTTATGCCTCAAAGCCAATAATTGATTGATGTTATGTTGTGTATTCTTCAGTGAGGAAATTGGCTAAGGACTGTTGTAAATATGGGACTGAGAACAAGGATCACGGTAGTAATTACCCCCTTGCAAGGGCTTCTCTTCAATTCGGTAACTCATATGATATATTGGAAAATGAGAGGGAGACTTTGCTTGGGATCTTTTGTGATCAGGTAATCTTTTGGGATATTTCTTTGATACTCTTTAATGTAGTCTTTAAAAGTTCATTTTGTGAATTATAACCTTATGTTAACTTGAGTAAATGATGTTATCAATGTACGTACAAATTAATGTCACTAAGGGAACTATTCATTTGCTAGTGCTACTTAATCGAAGTCCTAGTTTTCGGAACTATTACTAATATACTGTCAATTTTGCAAGATTTTCCCGTCTTTTGCAGTCGGTTGTATGTCATATTTTGAGTCTTCAAATTTTGTCACAAACAAAAATGGTGCTTCTAATTATGCTTTAGGTTTTGTATAGATCTCTGAGCCACTGCGGGCTCAAATAACAGGAGCTCCTTTGGAAGATGCACGCCACCTCACCCACAACTATGACAAACTTCGTCAAGAAGTAGAAGGCCAGGTAGTAATTTACTGCCACAATGGCATGCATATGGTGGTATGCAATGCGTGGTATTTATCTTAGATATCTTCTCACAGGCTGCTGAAGTTTTGAGGCGTAGATCAAAGTTGAGGGATTCTTCTCTTCCTTCAGACAGTTCCATGAGGCTTCAGAATGCAGAGAAAAGGTTGAAAGAACTTAAATCTGCCTTGGTGGCACTCGGTAGAGAAGCAACTTCTGCTATGTTGTCAGTTGAAGAACAACAACAACATATAACTCTCCAGAGCCTTTCTACATCGGTATTGCTAGATTCTCTATGAAAATCATCTTGCTGTGTGACTGCTGATTTGATTTTTTTATTTTAAACTTTTTTGAAACCTATAGTTAACACTCCATTGGCTCCTAATTTGACTTTTATGTGCCATTTTAACAGCTGAATACGTTAACTGTTAAAATTTTGAAGATGTAAATATTTGTTAGTCAAGTTTTTTAGTTTGTCATCGGCCAAGTTGCCTCCTACATGAAAATTTGAGAAGAGATAAGAAAATACACATGTTTTTACAAACATATTTTCTAGTCAATTCATCTATTAGGTTGTAGAACTGAGTTAAAATGAAATCTTCACACTAAATACAGGGTTTAGTTACTTGAAATGCTAAACTGTAAGTAGTAATTAGATTCCTTCACACGATATTGATCAATTTTCTATACCAATGGTTCCAAATATTTATATTAATCGAAATTCATGAATTTTTGTTTTTTTGGTTTTCGCCACACTCTAATGTTTGAACCTTAAGCAAATTGTTCTGACCTAATCCAAACAGAAAATCTTGTTTTTCACCATTCCATTGTTCCCTTTCTTGGCAGGTGGATGCTGAGAAAGCCTATCATCGGCATGCTCTTGTTATTCTAGATAAACTATATGCTGAGGTTAGCTACCATGTCAACCGACACTTCTTTGAAGTTGGAAAAAATTAATTATAGTTCCTATGTCCATTGTATATGTTCGATTCTGGCATAATATTTATATTCTGATCAAATTTGCAACCTATTCCTTCTATTGGATGTTCTTGGAGTTAGATGATCATGATTGACGAGAGACAAACAAAAGACCCTACATCATTTCCACTCCCAAAAGATGGATATAATCAACCCACAGATGAGAAACCTAATTCAAACGGCATTGATTATAAGCACGACACCCAAATGGGCACATACTTTTTTGCAAAGGTAAGTCACATATAAAGAAATAATAAGTTTGTCTTTAGTGACCCTACATTACATACCACCATATTCTTGCAGTTGACTGTTGCTCAAGCAGCTTATGCTAATAATTTATCTTTGGTTTTGTTGCAACTAATATCATATCTTGATCTTTGTTTCATTTCTTTTAAATGTTAATCTTCATTCTACTCGCTGATAAGAATTTTGGATGTTTGATATGTTATATTTGCGCAATTTACTTGAGCGTTAAAATATGAAGATCCTAATCCACTTGCCTCTTATATATGGGAAGCAGAACGTGTAAAATAGTGAATGCCACGAGAAGTTCATTTTATTCATTCATAAACTCGCACAAAAAATTTCTTTAAAAAAAAAAGAATAAGAAGTTGTGTTGATCTTTTAGAATCATTCAAAATATGTAAGATCTCAATCCAATGCAATCTTATATTTACATTCTGTAATTGAATTGTGCTCATCGTCACCATGTCTTGCAGGTCATTCATACATTTGATGCTCAAGCTGAGGGAGAGTTAAGTTTATCACTTGACGATTATGTTGTAATACGACAGGTATTTCTTTGAAGACTTTAGAGTCAGTATGGCTGAACTTCTTAAGAAGTACTTTTGAAATAAAAATTTATTAGCCATTAAAATATTCATATGGTGAAGCATTTTCCACCTAGTGTTACAGTTGACTTGATCATTACAAAAATAAGTTATAATAATAGTAATGATGATGATGTTATTATTAATATTTGTGAAAGTAGGTAGCAATCTTAATGACAATGAAACCAGGCTCATTGATTTGACTTGCATTCTTATTCTCCTTTTGGTGGTTGAATTTCCAGGTTGATGCCAATGGATGGTCTGAAGGAGAATGCAATGGCAATGCCGGATGGTTTCCCTCTGCATATGTACAGAGACAGGACGTAGTACCAGCAAACAAGATACCGGAATAACATCGAAGTTATGCCAACATTGATCTTTTTAATAGGTGTGGCAATAACTGTACATTCTCATATTCACGGATTAGGCGCATTTCAAAAGCCACAGCACGTGCTTGCAGTTTTTTTTCCTGGTGGTTCTGTGATCTGTGCAGTATGTTATACATGTAAGCACCAATTGTATTCATATATAGCAGCAGTTCAAATATGTAGATTGATATATGATTTGCATTTTTGCTTAAGCCCTTAGGATCATCTAAGGAACTTAAGTTTTGAGATGGATGTCTGTAATTCTGAAAGATACATGGTGAGAAACTTTGTATTAACACAAGTTTTAATGTATCATTATGTATAAAGTAATTGTTTTTTGTTTTGTTTTTGTGAAATAGTATTTGCTAGAGTAGCTGAAATAAATATAGCTTTTGCTTAAATGGTCCCTTGTATTTGATTAACTTAAGTAGATTATTGAAAGCAAAATGAATATTCAATTTAGACTCATAGGTCATATACAACAATACAATATAACATACCAGCTTGGCAGTCTTTTGCAACATATCATCTTCCCCCTTATACCAACCTTAACAACTTGCTTTTTAAAACATTTTCTTATGTTATTATAGTCTTTAAAAGCGTGGCAGATAAGACTTGTCACTCAAGAAACTAAACATCAAATAATATGGCGGAAAATTAAAATGAATCATCGGACAATCTGTTACAACACTGATAACATATTAAAGCCAATTCAGTTATATATATATGAAGGATGCATACCAAATTCTAAAGGTCCTCTTTCTCTGTACTGAAAATAAGTATCAGATTCTCTACTTTATGCTATTCACATGCATTATGTAATGTATCTTCAAAATTGAGTGCCAGAGACAAAGGCAAAAAAGTATGAATTTTCTTGTATGTTTAAGGACACCAACAGATAGACACATGCAGATCAGAAGCAGCTTATCATTCAGCCTAGTTCCATTTGCAGATTTGCATGATGTTTATCAGTTTATGTACTAGTTCATGATTCATTTCACAATTCAATGAAGCAACACCATACACATAATATTAGGAAAGACATAAATGTTTGTATATATGTAAACAGAAACATGTACAGTACAAGGCAATTTGAAATATTAGCAACACTTTTGTAACAACTAGAAGGGATCCAATCCAAAATGTAGTAATGCTCTATAGTCTAGTCTAATAATCATCACTCAACTCATCCTCAATATCAGAAATATTCATCCTAGCAGATGCATGTTTAACCATTTCAACAATCTTCTCAGCCTCACGGTTAATCTTCTCCTCTTCTTCCTTCAATGCTTTCTCAATCATATTAATCCGTTTCTTGGTTGACAAACTTCTAGTATCAGACAAGAACTCGTCACTTGTATATTCCTCCAATGACCCAACCATATCATCATTCTCCTTGCTTTTCTCCTTCTTCTTCTCCTTCTTAGGAGAGCACCAAAAACAACCCCATTTTCGAGGCGGCGACGGGCTAGGAGACACATACTTCACCTTTGAGTGTTTCTCTTTATCTTTCTTCATTTGCAACGGCATGAACAGTGAAGACATTGAACTTTCTTCTGAGGTATGAGAAGAGTCTGAGGGAGAAAAAGACCCATTTTTTGGTTTTGGTTTTGGTTTCGGACCCTTTTTCTCATGGGAAGAATTTGAGTGAGAAAAGACAGACCCAGAATCAGAATCTGGATTATTTATGGATTTAGTTTGTTGGGTAGGTGAAAGATTGAAACTTTTTTGGGGGTTTGCTGAATTGGAGTTTGAAAAGGTGGGAGGTTCGGGACGGTAAGGTGGTGGGGTGGTGTGATTAGCAGGGAAGGATTTGAGTTTGTGAAAACGTGATTCGAGGTCAGGGGGGAGATCAGAATGGGTGAAAGATGAACAATTGATGGCAGAGATTTGTTTAAGGAGGATTGAATCTTGTGCTTGAGAGATGATTTCTTCAATGGTAGAGTCTTCATCGGTGTCGGAAGAAAACCCGACCATTTTCGGAGAGGGAGCTTGTTGTTTTGCTTGTTTTTGTTATTGTTGTTGTTAGGAGAAAAAGAAAGAATGAGTGTGTGACAGTGTGTGAAGAGTGTGAAAACGGAGAAGAAATGCATAAGGTGCCAATGGTGTGAGTTGAACAACGGCTAATTTGAAGAGTCTTGAAGTGTGTGGGTTCCACTCTCGCATTTCTAGGGACCCACTACTTTTGACATCATCGAGTTTATCTGTTATGTATTTTTTGAATTACATTCTATAAGTATTTAAATTGTTACCAAAACAAAACAAAAAAATCTAGTCCATAAAGCTATTAGGATTTAAACTAAATTCTGCATTCTAAAATTTCAATAATTAAATTAAATATAAATATTTTAATTAATGAGATTAATATATAAAAGTCATGTATAATAACAAAAATAAAAAGCATAATTTTGAACTAATCGAGTTTACATGTTCACAGATTTAAAATCATATTGATTTAGAAGATGAGGGGTGGGGTTTGTCTTATTGTTGTGAAATAATACTTGCAATGCGATGGAGTGGAGCAAACCTACAAGTTTAATACTCCAACACACAAATCAGAGAGATAATGAGAAGTAATGTGAGAGTGAGAATGAATTTGAATATTTGAAATTATACGATTTATCTCTATAAATTAAGAGAGGGTTAAATGTTAAGGTGTGATGTGGCGTGCTATGAGGACAGCTGTTTGATTGAATTTGATGGTGATTGATGCATTGGAGGGTAAAATTATTTGCTTATAGTTAGAGTGAATGTATACTTGTTATGTACGCTTTTCTACTTTGAGTTCGTTCTCAGAATAGTTGTCCCAAAAATTTGTTTCTGTTTTGTATAATGAGGGCTTCGTTGTGCACACCTTTAGGTTGACTGTTACCAGAAGTAAGTGAAAAGTCTTGACGGGACGTCGCTAGTGAAATTGCATATCCCTAGGGAGGAGATTGAAGTTCCATGTCCCTAACACATTCAGGGGGTGAATCCCAATACAATTTTGTTGCATGTCTTATCGCTTTTGTTTTCATTTACTTTTTTTTATTGAGCCTCCTTCATAATTGCACATCATCTCTGAATCATGTTTGAATCAATTTGTTTTTAGCATCCATAAAACAATGGTTACATTTGAGCTTGATTATGATGCTTTTAGTTAATTACATAAGTCAGTGGAATAAGAACCATGTGTGTTATTGGTTCAAGTTAGGTGGAAAGAAAAAACTTAAAGTATTTTAAAAATAATGAAAAATTGAGATTTTGTGTGCATGATTCAAATCACGTACATATCTTGACTCGAATCAAATTGGACATTAGCACACCACAACTTTTCAAACACTTTAATTCAAATCAGAATTTTAACTTAATTTGAATTAGACAACTTTGTGATTCGAATCAAACTTTACACTTGATTGGAATCAAAATAATATGGGTCACCTTTGATTAATTTGATTGGAATTATACTTTACACTTGATTCAAATCAAACAATTTTGCCCACATTTCTCTTTTGGCCCTGTTTAAATTGATTTGAATAAATGCTTTCACTTGATTCGAATCACGGGCTAACTGAATTGAACCAAACTTTGTTCTTGATTCGAATTAGTTTGCTTTTGTGTTCCACTTCACTTACTCATTTGACTCAAATCATAAAATACTCTTAATTCGAATCTAACTAAGTTTTTTCATCCACTATTGTGCTTAATCTCAAGCACATATAGAATCTTTTTGTCATCTCATTTCCAATAACAATTTTTACAACTTTTACAACTTTACACAACGTTTTTGTGCGTTATGATTTTGCAAAATCAACACTCTGTTTTTCAATTTCAAAAAATCTTGCAATGAAATTCTTTCATCCTCAACCTCAAGTTTGATTTCAAATCTTGATCCTGAGAGATTTGCAATTGATTGAGAGAGACGTCGTCTTAAAAATAATCGTTCTTGAAGATTTGGTTAAGATTTTCAGGTAGCTTGCAAGATTGAGGTTGTTGTCATCGGTGTTGATAAATTCCACTGAAAAAGGAGGTTCTTCTCTCCATATTACCTTGGTAGTGATTGTGTGGAAGGATACTGATAAGGTGGAGTTCTTCTCAATTCTTCAGATAGTTCATCGCTCAAGGAATCGATACGTTCAAGGAGCGATTGCTACACATGAAGAACTGGAGCAGATTGGTGAAGTTAGAAGACTCAAGAAATGTGAATCAAGTAAAGATTACGAAGAAAAGTTAGGAATTACGTTGTATACAAGTCAAGATCCAGATATAAGATTTATTTTTCTCAATATTATTGTGGATTAGTGATTGTATGAACTCTTGCAATATTTGTCAAAATAAAAAGGAACAAAACAGGTTTCAATGGGAAACCATTGAATATTGGAGTAGGCAAAGCAAAGACGAACTCCGAACAACTATATATCATGATATACTCTCTCTCTCTCTCTCTCTCTCTCTCTCTCTCTCTCTCTCTCTCTCTCTCTCTCTCTCTCTCTCTCTCTCTCTCTCTCTCTCTCTCTCTCTCACTCACTCGTATTTAAGGCTTAATTGCATTTTTGGCCTCTCTATTTTCATTTTTTTTATAGTTTTGGTCTCCCTATTTTAAAATTCGGAATTTTGGTCCCCCTGTTTTCAATTATTTTTATTTTTGGTCCCCCTGTTTTCAATTATTTTTTATTTTTGGTCCCTCTTTTTTAAAATTCAGAATTTTGGTCTCTCTATTTTCATATTTTTTTTTACTTTTGGTCCCCCTATTTTAAGTTTGTTTTGGATTTTAGTCCCCTTCCCGATTGGGAAAGGGGGGCAAAAGTCTAACAAAATAAAAATAAGTGAACCAAAATTTTGTATTTTAAGATAGGGGGATCAAAAGTCAACAAAAATGAAAACAGGGGGACACAATTTTCGGGTTTTAAAATATGGGGACCAAAAGTATAAAAAAAATGAAAATAGGGGAACTAAAATTGCAATTAAGCCTACATTTAATTTTCGTACGATATTTCATGCCTAGGTTTTCAATTCTTAGTGTAGTTTGTCGTTCATTCAATTGGTAGTAATTTATTACATAAGGTTAGGTTTTGTTAGAATTGGTGCATAATCGAGTTTTAATGGTGATTAAATTTTGAGAAACTGATGAGGTTAGAATTTATTGATATTGAATCGTTGTATATACACACCTCATGAATTGTACAACTGAATTAATTGATTACCTTTTATGTATCATTATAAAACTATCTTTGGTATTTTTGAATTGGTTAAGTGTTAACGTAATTAAGTTCCAAAAGTATAATCTTCACACTTTCGCTTTAAACCTTATGTGCACATTTTTGAAAAATCTCTGATATCTTATTTCTGGAAAATCAGTATAAGTGTTTTTTATTTTAAAAGGGTCTATTCACCCCCTCCAGACTATTTTTGTACTTCATACTTTCACCCAACAACTAGCATTGAGAACAAATACATTAAATGTCTTTCTTTTGATCGGTGGTGTTCCACAAGGAAATTCTAACACATATCCCTATGTATGACGATACTGATATGATCTAAGTACTTTAGATAGTTCCCGATCTCGACAGTTGGTGGCGTTGTTCGCGCTTCCTAATGTAATGGATTGCATATAAGGAGTTATGGAACTACTACATTCTCTTACTTTTCCATTTGCAAATATTTTCCTCTCCTGCTCATTCGGGAAGAATAAAGTTCGGTGACGACTCTGTCGAACCGCATTTCCGTGCCTTTTGCGCGAGGGTCGTATGTTCGAATGAATTTTCGAGGTGCGACAATAAGTATGCATTTAGAATAAGAACAACCTTCAAACGATGTTTGAGAATTCCCATTAATAGGACAAGGTGCATGGTATTCCTCAAAATCAGAATTGGAGTCATCGTCAGATTGATGATCTAAAAGAAAGTGGAAAAAAGTCAGTAAAATTAGAAAGTAATGAAAAAGTTGAAGATAATTTAAAACAGTAGCCATGACGATTGGATTTGTATTAAGAAAGATTAATATGACTTGAGCAAAGTACTCTGGAATTGCTGTAGGAAATTCGAAATCAGAACTAAGAAATACCGAATCATCTTTAGCATGAAGGGCATTTAAAGTGCCAATTGAACATTAATTTTATATAACTTACTTGCGAAAGGATCTATGTCAGAGTCACATTCCGTATCACCATTGAAATCTTCATTTGCACATGGTGTAAAAGTAGAACACAGTTGTTGGGATTTTGGTTTAGAATTGTCGAGTTGCAAGGCATAATGTTGGTCCATGTCAAGAAATCTATTTGAGCCTTCTATATACCTTTGGCTATTTGGTTAAGACATTATTACATATGCATTGAAGATGTTGTTGTAATTAACTGTTAAAATTTGAAAAGCTACAAAATTTTCAATGTACCTATAATACGATGAGGATCCAGGTTGCATGACAGATGTATCACGAACTGTATCATAATGGACTTCAGCAACACATCTTATTAGATTCATTGCTAGATGTGGAACTCCCAAAGACTTTCTTGGGCGACCGTGACGGGTTTTAACAGTCGTATCATTGCTGGAAGAGTATCCAATATGAAACGCAGACCATGAATATTTGTTAAACATATATCAATAGAATGTAGGCCGCCAGGATATCGTCAATGGCAACAAAAATAGGTTTCTTGTAATATCTCAGTTTTCAAATCAGAAAGGTAAGTAACATAACATAATTTGCTGATCGACATTGCGTTGTGACTATGTATGCATCATGTGTTTGAAACAGACCACATGGTAACTACCTACAGCTGCTAAAATGAAGTTATAAGTTGCATACCTCAGTGTGATATTCAAGGTTGGTTCAATAAGATGTGAAGGTGTAGTTGGTTCTTGGAAATGATGAATTTGCAAAGCCAAATTGGGTTGAGATTGATGTTGTTGCGTGTTGAATTTGCGCGGTCTTCCATGAGGTTGTTTGGTTGATTGTGATGAGTTATGACAAACAAACAAAAAGTAATAACATGAGTGTTA